CAAAGGGTGAACACTGTCTTCTCTGTTCCAGGGGAGCCAGTAAATGTGAAATGTTTCCTTCACAATGTGCCTTCTCCCAGGCTGGGAATTGGATTTCTCCTTGGATTTCTCCTGCTTTCTCCTGCTGGGCTTGCCTTGACCTTACCCAAGGTAAGTGAAGGCTGCTGATGTTCGTGTTTGCACTGCCTGCGGCGGTCTTAAGTACCAACTCTTGGTCTTTTGCAGAGCTGACCTGACTCCTAGCCCTTTTTTATTTTTTCCCCTGCAGAATGGCTGAAGTTGGAAGAGGCCTCTGGAGTTCATCTGGTCCAACCCCCTTTGCTCCAGCAGGGCCGCCTAGAGCAGGCTGCCCAAGACCTGTCCAGTTGGCTTTTTACTCTGTCCAAGGACGGAGGCTCTACAACTTCTCTGGCGCCCTGTCCTAGTGTTTGGTCACCCTCACAGGGAAAAAGTGTTTCCTGCTGTTCAAGCAGAACCTCCCGTGTTTTAGTTTGTGCCCATTGCCTCTGGTCCTGTCACTGGAGACCACCACTCCATCTTCTTTGCACCCTTCCTTCAGGTATTTATACACATCAAACCCCGCTGAGCTTTCTCTTCTCTAGGCTGAAAAGTCCCAGCTCTCTCAGCTTTTCCTTGCAGGAGAGAGGCTCCAGGCCCTTAATCAGCAGCTCGTTTTAGTAACCCTGTTTACCAGGGATTCTCTTCTCCCAGCTGCGTGCAACTGCCAAATGAGGTAGAGAGTAGCAGTGAGAGTAATTGGAACCACCCCACCAGGCTGTGAATGCCTGGCACATACCTTCTGGGGTTGCTTCTGGTCTTTTACTGTTTATTGATAGATGATAACAGATACTTCAGCCAGCGTGGGCCAGTTGAAGTGTCCCTGGCTGGCTCAAGAGCAGCAAGAGAAGACGGTGGATGGATGGCTGGTGTCACAGGAGACACCTTCCAAACTGTTCCTCAGAGGTCCTCCTCCTTGAGTCAGAGCAGCAGGCCAAAGAAGGCGTGCACACTACCTGGCTCTACTCCTGAAGCCCCACGTGTGGTGGCTTTGGGCTCTTGCTTTAGACCGGGAAGCTCTGCCAGCCGCTCGCTGGCACAGCCCTTCTGACACCTACGGTGACTTTGGCCTCCTGCCCCTTCCTCCTTCCCCACGTCCACAGTGTCACGAGCCACCGAGCCTGGTGCAACGACAGATGCCCGATAGGAAGCAAAGTGGAGGAGACAACCAGCTTGACAGGCCTGCTCTCTAACGTGTGACTGTCTTGAGAAGAAAGAGGGTGGTGAGAACAGAAAGAAGGTTGGCACAGAATGGGTTTAGCTTCACGCCGCCTTCAGGGATCTCACTAAGGGGCAAAGAGATTTATTCAGCAATGCTGGTAAGGGGCTGCTTGAGTTTAGAAAGGAGCTGCTGGTTGATGCAACGGATTTCACAAGCCTCTACTTTTCTCCACCTGTTTTTCCGAACCTCACCTTCGCAGCAGCTCCCAGCCACCAGCGCGCACTCACTCGGCATGCAGGCAGCCAGACCTGGGCTCCTCGCACCAAAAAATGCGGGATAAAGTTTGCAGTGCCAGTCCCCAGCTCTGGAGAATTGGCACATACAGTTTTAAGCTCTGCCTCTGCTCTATAAATAGCCCCTCCCGAGGCGGCACAAAATCCCCCCCCACTATCTAATTCTGCAGAAACCTCCCTCAAAGCATCTGGCAGGCGAGTGCTCAGACACTTCCCACTCCTTCGTCCCTGCAGAGCTGCCGTTACAGACAGCGCTGCCATCCTCACAACCCCGGGTTGTCCCTTCCACAGGTTCTCACCAGAATCTTGCCCAGCCTTGACCTTGTTGTGTCACCTCCCTGACGCCCAAGTCCCTTTCTCCCAGCCAAACACGTTTTGTTCAGGGTTATTGCTGGGTTTGGGGTTTGTTGTTGTTGTTTCGGTCTGTGGGTTTTTTTGTTTGGTTTCTTTTTTGTGTGTGTGTGAAGACTGGATCAGAGGCAAGAGAACAACAAACAAGTCAACACTAGTACATCTCAGACAATTAAACAAGGAGAAAACACCCCCACAGCCAGATAAAAGCGGAACAAACACATGCACAAGAGAAGAAGACAGAGCAACGGCAGACTTTACAGACAGCTGAGCTGCGAGCGACAGTAGCAACCTCACTTGGACAGAGGAACAAGAGACCGCAACGTCAGACATCGTTGGTGACGCTCACACACCTTGAGCAGAATCAGCTTGGGGGACGGGACGGGACGGGGACAAGAGGTGCTGATGTCAAGCAGGGAGAGAGATCTCCGGGGTCAGGAGCAGGACCCGGGCTGACTGCGTGGGAAGGAGCTTGGCCCTTCAGCTATTACGGACAAGAATCAACGGCCTGGTCGGTTCCCCAGGATTAATCCCATTGGCTTGGGGCGTGCTGGGACAAACCTTCCTCTGTAAGGTTTCTGGTTTCCTTGGATTTCAGACCGATGAATTACTCCCAGTAAATTTAATTGCACTGGCAGTATTTTCTTGTTTTGACTAAGTGTAAACAAGAGATAGGCTCACAAGGTAACAGCTGCAGGCACAGCAGATTAAAAAAGAAAAGAAAAAAGTCTGTTCTTAAACAATAGGAATATGTACCATGTAGGATTAATTCTTTTTCCCCTCTTCCAAAGCCTCCTATTCTTTTGAAATAATGGTGTGGATCAGCCTCGGTGTGAACCATCACTTCGCTCTTTCCAGCTGTGAGTTTCATATTTAATGAGTCCAGAGACTTAGTATTTGTCCTTATCGCCATGGAACTTTCTCCCCTGCAAAGTGAAGACATGTCCATGGCATGCACCTGCTCGCTAACATGCTGCCTGTCCTCAGCTGCCGGTTACGAGCACCACACCAGGGCAAACCCAACGATTTGGCCAGATCTCACCTGGCCCTGGACAAGGAACACTCCGTCCAAGAGGGAACCTCACGCCCCTTGAGACCGAGTCAAATGCACAAAGCTCTTACGGGGAGGGAGGTTGCAAAGTGCGGGTGCCTTGGAAAGGAGCTGCTTAAGGAAAACTCGGTCTTTAGATACTTAACAGGTGCCATGACAAACATAGGAAGTCCTGAACGACAGACAGTCAAGCAGACAGACATTAGTATAGACCAGGCAATTATTTAGGCCCAGGAGGAAACTGGGGCTCCAAGACAAGAGGCACTAGGGAAGAGCGAAGGAAGGAGTGGCAGGGAAATGGGTATGGTTGGCTCTTGGCCGGCTTTGGGGCTTGTCCATAACAGAACTTATCCTGGGCATGGGAAACAATGGAAAAAACCCAAACCAAGGTAGAAGTTGAAGCAAGGGAGGAAAAGAGCAGGGAGTCATGGTGTCTTCTCCCTTCACTGACACCACAACCAAACAACAGGAGGCCATTGGCAGAGTCAAGGAATCCACAGAAGAAAATAGCAGTTTCTGATATTGTTCATTAGCCTTTTGTTCTGTTTTCCCCGTTTAAGCACAAGCCCGCTCAATACAAAATGATGAATGGAGGAGAAATGATTGGGATTCAGGGCTACCACCTGAACTTCTTGGAACTAACGTCTCCCTCCCTTATTCCTCTCAATAAAACTGCATCTCCTCCCACCGCAGCTGCCCAGCACGTGCCATAGCAGAGCAGCCTGGGGACTGGATACCACTGCGCTGTCTCGGTCTACACGGGCTTTACTGACTCCTTCAGGCAGCTGTGACTGGAAGCGAAGGGGGTCTCTGGATCTGGAGGTTGGGCTCAGACCCCAAAACTCACACCTAAGCTGCGACCAGGGAAAGCAAAGGCAAAACCGCGTCGGAGCATCCTCATACAACCCGTTACTGGGACGTTTGACGCTGCAGCTGAGTTTGGCTTCAGGCCCACGTCTCGCTGTGCTCCTCAAGCCAAGCCCAGCCTGCTGCTGAGGTGCTCCTTCAGCTCGGAGCAGTAACACAAGGAGATTGGTGGCTGTTTGTGTGCAGGAAGAGCGAGACTGTGAAGGGGACCCTCTCGCTGTGCTGTGGGTGTTCCTAGGGTGGTGTTAACCAGGGACCTGGGCTCACCCTCTAAGAAGAGGGAGAGCAGCTCCTTTTCTCCCAGGCGTTGGGTGGTTGTGGTGCAGCAGCAGGGGATGATCGGGGTCAGATCTAACACCTTTCAACTCGCTACGCTTCTCCCCACACATCAGGAGCAACTCTCCAGCATTAGTCAAGAATAACAGCGCTGACACCAGCAAGGTGCCACCAGCACAAACGTGGTGCAAACCAGGCAGCATCAGCCCCCATCCCGTGGAGCGACACCTCCTAGCACTGTTCCCCTGGTACTGCGATATCTTGGATTGCTTAAGGCAGGTTTTGGAGCACAGCAATGCAAACGACAAACCAGTTACACATTCCCAGGGCTTCCTTTCCCCGCAGCAACTCGCCGAAACATGAACTGAAGCAAAAGGGACGCTGCGCCCTCGCGACCGGCTGGCAGAAGTCCCCGTCCAAACCTGTGACCAGCCAAGCCATTCTAGCAACGGAAGGGACAAAGCAGAGCAAAAACCAAGCCAAAGGACCAAAGAAACGGGGGGACTTGAGCTCTTGGATGAGAAACTCTGCATCTTCTTCGTGCTGTCCCACCTCCATACCCTTGGCAACATTTCCCGTAGGGTAGCTGGATGTGCAGGACAGCCGTGAATGCCAGGAAAAGGGGGGCTGAAAGTATAATGCAAATCTCTGTTCTCCTTTTCGTTTGTTTGTTTCTGTTTGTCTGCTTTTTTTTTTTTTTTTTTTACATATATACACAAGTCCGACAATAAAACGTGGAACACAGTGCAACGTCTTGGCTGCGTAGCATCCAGGACTGGCTTAGTTGTGCATCGTGATGTGCCACAGGGACACACAGGATGGGTCAGTAAAATTGTGTCCTCGGCTGGCTTCCATAGAGGAGCAAACTAGTAGCTGTTCCCCTGGAAGAAGAGCAAAGTCCTTTTTAAAAGCTCACTGCAGTCTCTGGAGGGGAAGGCATTCCTCAGAGGTGCCGTGGGCTTGGGTGCCCGTTATGGTACAGCTTCTGTTTGATGTGCACCATGTTCCCGGTCGCCTCCTCGTACTGCCTGTGATGACGTTTTCTGAATTCCTTTAAGTTACAAAACTTTGGAATCCAAGACCAGGAATTGTCTGCAAGGCAGAAAGGAAAAGGAAGATATTACAGGAATGGCGAGACCCGTGTTCTGCTGCCTTCCCTGGCCAGAAACCAGGCAAGGCCACCCCAGAGCCTCACTCGCACCCTGACCTCGGGCTAACGATACAGGAAAGGTTCCACAAAGGCAACAACCTCTGCTGATCTCTGCTGACCCAGCTGCCATACGTACCACGCCTGGTCAATCCTGGCTCTTTTATTCCATCCTCTGAAACACTGGGCACCTTCTGCCCCAGAGCCAGTGCAGGTGTCGTGTTTTTAACCCAGTGTTCCAGCTCTCAGCCCATCAGCCTTTCCCCGCAGCAACGTTCCTGGTGCCGTTCAGTTTCACGCAAGCTTTGGGTCATTCCACCCAGATATAGAATGATAGAATAGTTCCAGCTGGAAGAGACCTTGAAGATCATCGATTCCAGCCTCTGTCCTAGCCCTACCGACCTACTAAACTATGTCCCCCAATGCAACAGCCCCCCGTCTCTTAAACCCCTCCAGGGTCGATGACTCAACCCCCTCCCTGGGCAGCCTGTTCCGATGGCTGACAGCCCTTTCAGTAAAGAAATTCTTCCAAATATCCCACCGGAATCTCCCCTGGCGCAATTTAAATCCATTTCCCCTCGTCCTATCACTCTCCACTAGGGAGAGCCCACCCCCGGCCCAACCCCACAAAGGAGCATTTGAAAGTCCCAGAGAATGATAAATTGTATAAAATTGAACCATTGCAACCAGTACAAAGACCGAGCAGGTGTGTGGCGGCTCTGACCACCACCGCAGCTACTATGAAGCATAAATCTGATGTCTGAGTGTCTATAGAATAGTTTCTATTTTAAGAAATCTCCTCCATCAGGAAGGAGCTATAAGTTATTCTGATAGACCAAAATTTAAGCTGATCAGGCCACAATGTGACATTGAGTCACTGCTAAGTGGCACTCATGTCTTTCAGGGAGGGCTCTACATCCTGTACCAGTACAGTATTTCGTATTACCCCTGCCCTAGCTCTCATTCACAGGCACCATTTCTTTCCTTAGAAGGAAATTTTAGCTTAGGTACCCATTCAACAAAGAAATAGGTAGTGGAATGAATAGGTCATACCTAAAAGCTCAATGTTCATTATTTTGCTCCAAATGCCCTGGTGGGTTTTTTTCAGATGTACTCAGCATAGCACACCAGCTCACTGTTTTCTCTTTGGGCAGAGCAGTTCCAGGCATGTAAAAAAAATTTACTGGAAAGAGCTGTCAAGTCCCATTGCATGGTAGACACTAGAAACCTCTTGTGTGGCTGAGCTGTGTGGTATCCAGGTCCAAGAAGGTGGGTTGGATGGCGATGCCACAGTTGTAGCTCACCTCTCCCTCACAAAAAGCAACATCTCTGAAGACCAGCATTGCTGTACTCACTGTCACATCTCACCCAAGGACAGCTCTTGCCAGCCCTGCTGACTTCATGAGCACTGATGAGCTCACAGCCACAGGCGATGCGATCAAAACCAGGTGTCACGGCCTCAAGATTGGCTGCGGTACCTTAGATCTCACTGGAAACTCTGACAATTAGCCTTTTGCTTGGGAAATGACAGCAACACAGCCTCAAGAGAGTCCTGATTCAGAAACTGCTCAAGCAGGCTGCTGGGGATTTGAGAAATTAATATCATTTTGATCTGAGTTTTTAGGAAGAGACAGTCCACTTCCCTAATTAGAATTTCATGCAGATTTACAGATGAATCTTTCTGTCGCTCACTCCTCTGCCTCTGAGTGGTAATTTAACAGACACCATCAGTCAGAGTTAGAGACAGCTTTGCAGGTACACCATTATGGAATTTCAAGTCATTCACTATTTTAATAGCTTCTCTTTCTTTTTTTCCCCTCCAGCAACTGAAGTCCATGGGAGAGCTGTGCTGAGAGAGGCAGAGAGGGTCTCTGCAGGAGCATCTGTTGGGCAGTCTCAGGGTGTTAGTTCGGGATGCTACGCTAATTGGCCCAAGGACTAACGAGTATGGCTAACATTTTTCCCTGCGGGGCTGATGTCACTGCTGAAAAACAACGTGACACATGTGGAAGAGCGGTGAGGCTGGAGAATCCTCAGCATTCCCGACACAGCACAGAGATATCTGCCACAAGTTCATACAAACAACGCGGGGCTGCACGTGCCTGGCTGCGAATCATATGCACAGGAAAAAAGAAATAAATTTAAAAAATCCAGATTTCAGTCGTTTTGTCTGGCCTGAAAATATTCTGCCCACGTGTGCAGCCGCACAACCACCATCTGCCAACCTGCCGATGGGCGAGCGTTTTGCTTTTCACCAAACCCCCCTCTGCACCCACACGCGCTTTACACTTCCCAAAGCAGAGCCCTCGAGGCTGGGATCCTCCCCTCGCTGTTCCCACATTCCTGCTCGTATGGAGAGAGCTGGGAAACGGCTGCACCAAACCCACGAGGAAAAAAACCGCTGCAAGACCGCCGACGTCCTCCCTCCTCTCCACCAGCCTCAGAGGACAGGGCAGGGGACTGAGGGAGGAGAAGGGAGCCCGCGAGGCTGCACTTACCATACCGTCGGCTGGTTCTCCAGGCTCGCACCGCGTAGTGGAGAACCCCATCCATCCACACCAGAAACCAGCTTATACAAAAGCCCAGCAAAAGTCCCAGCATCAGATCAATCTCTTGCTTGGTTACATTGTCAGTCACAAAGTAATTCTCCGAGGAGTCCACCACTGACTGATCCCCATCGTACGGAATAACATAATGGACATGATGCCTGTTGCAGGGAACAGAAACAGGGAAAAGCATGAGTGGAGAAGAGCAGAGTAATGTTTTCCCACCCAGCGCCTGCTTTTGTGGCCAGGGGCTGGTTTAACACCATTCCTTCAAATTTCTACCAACATCCCCAGGAGCAGAAGTGCTGTCTTGGCTTTTTGCGTTCTTGTCAGCAGAGGAATTAGCAGAGAGCAAGGCGGAGAAGAATAGAAACCTGAACCCACGCCTGGAACTTGTATCGCATTCCTGACACGGGCTCTCTGCGCCCAAGTTTGTCATCTGCAAAATGGAAGATAATATTAAGGACAGCGTGAGGCTGGAGGGGGTCACCCCCCCGGAGATGTAAAGGCCACGGCTGCATTCGTGTTCGCAGGCAGAGGTCAGCTCGCGCTTTGCTCCTGTGAACACGCGCGCTCCGGGAGCGCAGCCTCGCGACCATAACACGCTGCCTCACTCGAGCCCGTGAGGAAAACCCTCTGCAAGCATGGGCTGCGGAGCCTTCAGAGAGCTTTAGGTCTCTCTCAGGGGTTCTGGAGAGGCTGGCCCCGTGCCTTTATGCCAGAAGGGTGATTGGGTTCCTCTCTGCGATGAGACGATGGAGACCAAGCTTGGGATGACGCTGAACTGCTTGTGAGACTCTGGTTGACTTGGGAAAAAGCAGGAAGATGGGAGGGCTGGAGTGTGGGGGTTGTAGAGTATAAAAAACAAGGCAGGTCTGCGGGGGCTGAATGGGAGGGGACCAGCTGTGACAGGTGAGCCGAGCATGTGGGATGGGAGCATCCCAGGTGATGGGGGATGCAGGCTGCGAAGCAAAACTGGAAGCAAGCTGCTCTGGAGCCTCTGCATCTGCTTTAAATGGCTATTAACCTGCCCTGAGAGCAGCCAGGAGCGGGGAGGCTGCTCACGCTCTGTGCTTAACCATCCTGCCTGCTCCTGCTGCCAGATTTGGAGGCAAGAACTGCTTGGGCAGGTGCTGTCCCTGCTTCCAGGGAGCCCAGGACCAGTCGAGGTGTGCTCAGCATCCCTGCCAGCACTGCTGAGGCTGCGCGCATCGCGTCGGACCACCACACCAGTCCTGGCACTGCAGCACAGATGCGCCATCAGCGCTCCCAGCTCAAGACCAGGGCACGGTTGGATGGGTTCTCCCCTCCACCAGCATCACCTGCACTCACATCCCTCCCACATCCATGGACCCAGCGCTGCTCCCACATGCAGGAGAGGAGGTAATCGCTGGAGGCCTCTGAATATGCATGAGGTGCAGGTTGCTCAATAATCACGCCTGAGAAACGTCCAAATATTTACACAAACAAACCTCCACTCCAAGGAACCTACTGAAAACAGCCCTAATCTCAGCAATGACTTAATGGAGGCCACCTGCTCCAGAGGCACCAGCTCCCGGCACGTCAAGGCGCGTAGAGCTGGTGTTCGACCTGATGCCGTGGCAGCAGAACGGAGGTGGATCCACACTCTGATGGCAACTCAAAGCGGCCTCACAGGCCATGCCTCTTCTTGCTGGTTGGCTTGTAACCAGAGATTTTCCCTCCCTAGGGAGCACAGGGTGTGTAAGAGAGGGCTCTTGGAAAGGGGACTCGTTCATGAACAGGAGGGCTCCCATTAACTCCGTGAACACAGCCAAGAGACTTTGCAGAAGGCAAAGAAAAGGCTCACACATAACTCCCATCTGCCAGCCTGCCCCAGTCACTGCCAGGGATACCTGGTGGGTTCTTAACTTACTCGCTTTCACCTCTTGCAGTACAGAAACAGCCCAAGGGCTGAGCTAACCAACACCTCTGGAAACCTAGAGTCCTTGAACTGGAGAGCCTCAGCAGGAGGTGGGCTGCATCTCCTCTGCATCATTGTGCCACAACCCACGGGGCTGCCTAAAGCCTCCCCAAGCAGAGCATCACTAACGCAGCGACCTCTGGGGCTGAGAAGCAAAACTTCCCCAACACATCAAGGATAGACCCGTTCCTAGGACATGAACACAGGCCTCTCTCCTCACATGAGGTGGTTCCCATGGAGGCTCTCAGCCCTGTAGCAGAAGCGAGTCCTGAATTACACTCCCTCCGCTGCCAAACTCCCCCCAGCACCTGCAGTTGGGGATGTGCCCATGGCACTGGTGCACACACGCACGTGTACAGCAGGGCCCGCGGTGACACAGGGCACGGCACTCTTCTCATGGGCTTTGCAAGAGGGTTTATTTCCTACCACACAGTCTGCTTTCTTCACAGCTCTCGTTCTCTGCTTGCAGGGCATGGAGGGAAGGGACACGGTCACCTCTTCCCGGCCTCGTCCCTCTCCTCAGCGCAGGCTGACTCTGCACACTGCAGCAGGAGCTCCTCCAGCTCTCCTACCTTCCTCCGGGCATCACCGGGCTGAACGGCACCTTGGGAGGCCCAACACTCCTTTTGTGTTTGCAGCTCCCTTTCCACACGCAGAAGACCATTCCCAGAGCCCAGTGACTTCAGAGTCCAGACTCAGAGGCGAAGTCCCTGTTTCTGCCCTATAGCTTCCACAAATTCACAGAATCACCGAATGGCTGAGGTCAGAAAGGACCTCTGGAGGTCACATAGTCCAAGCCCCTGCTCAAGCAAGGCCACCCAGAGCCAGTTGCCCAGAATCACGTTCATGCAACATTTAAAATATCCCCAAGGAGGGAGACCACAATCTCGCAGCAGCCCGTCCCAGTGCTCAGTCACCCTCACAGCGAAAAAGTGGTTCCTG